TTTATTTGATTATATAGGTTTTCCTCTTTCCAAGCTATAAGCTTTCCGAGGACCAGGTCTCACCCTTCACTGAATTATCATGACTGGGATGTGCTCAATATGTTAAATGAATGATTGACAGAGGAGGGAATGGAATTGAATATAATTGAGAATAGTTTAGGCCATTTAAGGCATTTAAATGTGTATAGTGTAAAGCCATAGTTTCATAAGAACAGGGATCTTGTTTGCCTGAATCCTTCCCTCCCCAAGTTCATAATCAGTGGTGGGCACATAGTAGGTAGCTTGGGAGAAATTTGTAAGTAAGAGAAAAGAAGAAAGGTCAGTACTAGGCAAAGGTTTCCATCAGCATGGACTCCTGCTGTGTTTCATTTTTGGTAGTACGACCCCAAAGGGTCTGTAAGCCTTATTCTGTTCCCTTGTCCCCCAGAGGTTCCAATGCTAAATCATCAGCACCTTCCCAAGGCCTGATCCTCACCCACTGGTCATTTTAGAACCCCTGCTCCTTTTCTAAAGGGATATCCCATTGCTGTAGGACTATTCCATGCTCCTCCAACACTTGCTAATTTAATAGCCATAGTCCTGTAACAAGTTATGAGCACTAAATAGCCTCCTTACAGAGAAATGAAATGTTTGAGCACTTAAACCAAAGTGTTTTATGGAGTTTATCAGATGTTGTGGATAACTAAATAGGTTGGTTTCAAATCACTCAGTACCTCCTCCTACCTGGCCTATATAGGGCCAACATGGAGGAAGAAGATGAGCAATTCCTTGGAAAAGGTAGCACTTTACAGACTGCCAGTAAGAGTGCTGATTTAATGAAATCCCTGTTTTTAAAAGGTTTTGTGGTAAAGCAAACTGGAGATAGTAAGTCACAGTTTTATTACAATATGGGCCTTTTCTTAGGGTGTGGGAATCATTTGTGGCTAAATAAAATAGCTGGATTCTGTAGTTAGTAAGAATCAGTACCTTCCAGAGATACTTAATCTCTCAGAACAAACCAATGCTGACAGTTTCTGGGAGAAAAATACAGAACTAAAATATGAACCAAGATAATCTGCCTTTGGTCCAGTCCTCCTGGTTTCACATCGGGCAGGCTATGGCTGATCACAAGCTTCAGTTGGGAGAATAACAGGTTTAAATCTATTACCTGGTCATCTTTTCCTGCACAGGGCCTAGAAGACGGCAGATAACATGACTGGTTAATGCTAGCTCCCTCTTGAAGAGAAGAGAGAGTCACATTTTCTCCAGATTTGAAACCAAGAGTGTTTTTTATTCACTTGATTACAATTTTTCTTAAATGCTCCTTGGATAGTTTCCCTCTGGATTATGTTGCCCTCTGTCCTTAATCATGGATTTTCTAAGTAACCTCATTTAGTTCTCCTCCATGGGCCAAATATAAACTGATATTGAGGTGTTACTAATCCTTTAAAAAGCCAGGAGTTTGAGCTTTCACTGGACTTTGAAAGACTGGATTTTCGTCTCTGATCACTGATAATGTTTTTAATTTGGAGTTGGAGCGTTTCCCTCTGGTAATAAGTGCAGCCTGAGTAGACAGGGCATGCTATTGTTCTAAAACAAGAGATTCAAATTAGATTTTGCCCAGACAGGTACAGAACTGAAAACCTTGGCTTCTGTTAATGCTGTATTTTAGGGCAAAAGTTCCTGTCTTCTAGGTGGCCTTTTTTACCTTCAGTTTTAGATTATCTGAATACCACCTTAAATTATATTTACTATTTTTAAGTACGTTCACTGTGATACTTGAATACATTGATTTCCATTATGGAAATATTTATTTGCTGTAAGTGGGAAACTAGGATTACTTGTACTTAATTGAAGGTAATAAATATAATGAAAGCAAAAGTTATTAAATTCTAGCTAGATGATATTGCTTGCCAAAGGTTCTGAGCCCCAGGCTACTCTCCCTTTATTTGAAAGGGGATTAACCTGGGTTGAAGTCATACTAGCACCACATTGAAACTTTCCTTCAGGGAATATGATGGATTGAAAAAAAAAAAAGGAAAGAAAGAAAAAAAAAAGAATCCCTTTTCCTCTATCCAGTAGCTTCCAGTCCTTTTGATTCCAAGTGTTACTCAGCACACATTTGAGAAACAACGCATTTTAAAAACTCATTCCTTTTATATTTTCTGGTGAGTAATTCAATATTTGATTTACTGGACTTATATGAAAACCCTGTCCAGGATATAAGAAAACCCCCAAAAATAGAAGGCACTGTCCCTAAACACAAGAAATGTGTCACCTAATAATACAAGGTGAGAAATTCATGATAAATGTATAGAAACAAGAGTTCCAGAAATAAGCAAGCACGTCAGTGCTTAATTAATACTAGAATGTGAGCTGCAGAGGGTCACTCATGGGTCTTTCTGTAGCAGTTAGGAGAGTACTTGGCACCAGCAAATATCCACCGAGTCAACACTAACCATGCTCCCAGTCTCCCACTGGAGATTTAACCACTCTCATGGCTAGGGAATAGGTTAGCACCATCTGGAGAGATTACCGGGAAGCAAGATTTGCATAAAATCTTGAAGGAAGGAATAGGCATCTCTGCACACACATATACATGAACATACAGCATCTTAGAAGAGAAGGCACAAGGTTCACATGAAAGCAGGGGGTTGAGACCTGAGAACAGTCTCAAAAATACAAACTACCTTCCAATTTGAATAAATACTCCCTTTTCCTCAGACGTAGAGCCATTCTCCCCTTCTAATTCATACACATCACACATTTAAGACTCAGTTTCATCAAGACAGACCATCCTCTGTCAAAAATATAAAATACCTTCTATTTCAGTGTATATGGGGGTTGCGTTTTGAGAAACCCAGCTTTATGAAGTATGTTGTCCACTTATGGATTCTGCAGAATCTCATCAGTTGTTAAGGAGGGCCCCTTAAACCTTTGCATCTAGGCAGTTGTGCCATTTCCCACTATTTCCTCTGGTATTCATTTGCCATCACACGATTTGCTGCTCTAGCGATAGCAAAGTCTCAGGTAGTATTTTTAAAGAATAAACAAGAGAAGCAGATTGGCAGGAAAACAAAAATGGGACAATGTGGGAATTTAAGGTCTTACTGCTATTTCTGAACAAGCTGTAATGTCACAGAAATGGCTATGGGCCTCTCGGTCTGTCTCTCTGTAAGAGGGGAGCCCAGCTTCGTACCAAAGGACTTCTCAGGACCAGCCTGAAGGCAGGAATGGTTGGTGTGAGTTGTGGTTGCACAGGTTTTGTGAAAGATTTCTACTTTCTGAAACACGATATCAAGACTTTAGTTTGGGTATTTCCCATGCAGGTTAAGTGATACTTAAATCTTTAGCTCAGTTATACCTAGAGAATGTTTTTCTAAAAGCTCATTTTCACTTTCTTTCACTCTAAGGCTAATTTTTAAATATATGGCTAAATAAGGACTTGGGCTTCCCCGATAGCTCAGTTGGTAAAGAATCCGCCTGCAATGCAGGAGACCCCGGTTCAATTCATAGATCAGAAGATCTGCTGGAGAAGGGGTAGGCTACCCACTCCAATATTCCTGGGCTTCCCTTGTGGCTCAGCTGGTAAAGAATCTGCCTGCAATGCAGGAGACCTGGGTTCTATCCCAGAGTTGGGAAGATCCCCTGGAGAAGGGAAAGGCTACCCACTCCAGTATTCTGGCCTGGAGAATTCCATGGACTGTATCGTCCATGGGGTCGCAAAGAGTCAGACACAACTGAGTGACCTGCACTTTCTTTCACTTTCACTTAAACAAGGACTTAGGCCAAACCATGAACTGAAAACCAGGGTATAAACCTTAATTTATTGAACCTCACCTTTTTTTGGCACATGCTAGTTTTTTCAGTTATATATATATTATTTTTCATATTCTTTTCCATTATGGTTTATCACAGGATATTGAATATAGTTTCCTGTGCTATAAATTAGGAACTTGTTATTTATCCATACTATATACAATAGTTTGCATCTGATAATCTCAACTCCCAATCCATCCCTCCCCTGCTCCATCACCCCTTAGCAACCACAAGTCTGTTCTCTGAGTGTGTTTCTGTTTTATAGGTAAGTTGATTTATGTTCTATTTTAGATTCCACATATAAATGATACATTTGTCTGTCTGACTTACTATGATAATCTCTAGGTCCATCCATGTTGCTGCAAATGGCATTATGTTCCTTTTATGGCTGAGTAATATTCCATTTGTGTGTGTGTGTGTGTGTGTGTGTGTGTGTGTATTCATATATATACCATATCTTCTTTTTCATTCATCTCTTGAAGGACATTTAGATTGCATCCATGTCTTGGCTATTGTGACTAGTGCTGCTATGAACATATGGGTGCATGTGTCTTTTCAAATTATAGTTTCATCAGAATATACTCCCAGGAATGGGACTGCTGGATCATATAGTAGCTTTTAGTTTTTTGAGAAACCTCCATACTGTTCTCCATGGTAGCTACACCAATGAACATTCCAACCAACAGAGTTCCCTTTTCTCCACACACATTCCAGCATTTGTTTTTTGTAGACTTAAAGATGACCATTCTGACTGGTATGTGATGGTACCTTATTGTAATTTTGATTTGCATTTCTCTAATAATTAGCGACACTGAGCATTTTTTCATGTGCCTATGCTCATCTGTACATTTTCTTTGGAGAAACGTCTATATACATTTTCTGTCCATTTTTGATTGCTAGCATCACTTTTTTAAACTGAAGTAATAACAACCTGGACTTTTTTTGAACAGCCATATCTTGTGAAGCACTAGCAGGAACCAAAATTTCATGTTTTCTAAACTGAGTATCACTGCAGAATATTTCTAAACTTGAACTTTAAAACTTCATTGAGTCTCTGCCTCCAATTAACCTGGTTGTCTCACAGGAAGGGGTGTGTACCTTGATATCCAGTGTCCAGAGTCCTGACCCAGCTCTTGGCTTCTGTTGGATGGAAAAGGCCAAACTTCCATAGGAACTAATGAAATCACATTTTTGTCTTTCAGGTTCAGTATTTCTTCAAGATCTTGGATAACTAGCAGTGTAGAAAGTAAAGCAGTCACAGGTTGGGGCATTTAGACAAGTGAAACACGCACATGAGGAATGTGTTCATTCTTTTATTGTCCATTGTTTTAACCTGACTGAATACAAGATCAACAAGAGCACTGTACTCCTGGCAATTATGACATATGTTAGAACATGGATTTTTGCACTGTAGACAACATTCAACATCAGTCTATGGGGTACTGCATTGCTTTTTATAAAGTCCAAAATAAAGATTTATTTTCAAACAAGTGACTTTGGTTTATTTCATACATTACACTTTTTCTTGCAGAAAAAAATAAAATTGTACAACTGCATAAATATAAAATTCTTCCACCATGAAAATGGTTAAAACATTCATAAAGACACAGCACCAGCATGTGATGCCTCCAGAGAAAGGAAAAAAGGAAAGTGAAAGAAAAGGTACAAAGCAAATGAATCGGCCCTATCACTAGCCAAAGTGATGGGCGCTCCGGATCTCACCCACAGTTTCAGAACGGACTGGAGGACGGGGAAGGAGAAGTCAAGATGGCATTCAGGACAAAGCACAACGCCACCCATCACCTCTGCGTGTGTTTCCATAGTGACACTTAAGAGTTTAAAGGGCAGTTCCCCCATGACAGCCCACCCCACCCCCACCCGGACCCAGGAGAAAAAAAGAGAAGACCTAACACCACAGGAAAGGACTATGGAGTGTGTTAAAAACGCTCATCAATGGGCTGTTATATTTGAAAGAGCCAAACCCAAAGAGGAAGAAAAAAAAGGTACCATGCCAGTTTTATTCCCATTGAATATTTACACCTTGGACAGCAAACCTTGCTCACATAAAGTAGAAAACGGATACGATAAAACATGGCTTGAAAAATGACCAGAGTGTGCACCTAGAGTACTGTACACTAAATAAAATACACAAGGCAGCAATACTTAGGGGTCAGAAACACTGCTTACTACAAGTCAGTTATGGAATCATAATTTACAGTAAAAATGGGCACGTCCCAAGGCTCAATTTTTATTTTTTCTTTTGTCATTTACAGTAGAATAAATATTTTGTTGCTATTGCTACACTTTAAATTTACATTCTAACCTATTAAATGCAGAAAGCTAGTGTAAAGCATATAGATTAAGTGTAGGTCCCATACGTATGACAGTTTGTTCAAGACTAGTAGGTTTTTGTATCTTTTTTTTTTAAACTTTTTTAAATGGCTAGTGGGAAAGATGTGTGCTTGTGATCAGCTCTTAACTTCAATTTTTACATCAAAGCGTCCCTGAAAACGGTCTTTCTCACTGTACCCAATGTTCTCACCATACGCCTTACACTCTATACGGATTTCAGTGTCCATGGTGAGGTTGGTGAACTGCACGGCCAGGAGAGGCTGCAGGTACTTGGGCTGCAGGAGCTTGCCGTAGTAGGGATAATACTGCAGAGGGAAGCCAGGGTAGCCACCCAGTCCAAAGTACTCTATGCTTCCAACTTTTTCCTTATCTTCGTCTCGCTAAAAGAACAGAGAGGAAATGAGATTTTAATGGCCCACATCCTGGGAATCACTGTTTGTACTCACACACAAATGAGACTGTCAGTCCCACAGAGCTGTCTGCTAGAACACCATCAGTCATTCTCTAAGATGTCAGCTCAAAGCCCCTCCGGGAGGAGGTGAACATTAACCACTGGAGGCTGTGACACATCTGACATACACTATATCTGACACATATGCAGCCTAATCCATAGCAGCCTTGAGAAATGGTCCTCAAAGGAGACTGTGCTCATTGTACGAACGGGAAGCTGCAGCAGAGACCAATTAAGCATCTCTTCAAGCTAACACAAGCTTCTAGAAATAAAGCCAACACCAAAAGCCAGAAACTCTTCAGTGTGGGTCCAGTGGATATTCTCAGTGACATTATCTCTGAAAGTTTAACTGTTTGCCTTGCACTTTCTTGTGTCCATTTCCTTTCTTGGTGCTAACATAAAACTGGACTGTTTGGAGATTCCTTTTATTCTATTTAAAGGAAATACACATTGATGGTTACCTTCATATTTTTATTTTTATTTTTTTTTAAAGAAAAACAAGAAACAGCTTTGCAGTGTAAAATTGTCAATTGGAAAAAAAACCATTGGCCTGAAGTTTTTAGCACAACGTGGGCTAGAGAAACATTTGTGTGGGCTAGTTCACCTCTCAGATCTTTAAACCAGTATCCCAGTGGATTAAGTTTGTTTCTTGTTCCAGTGGAGAAACTGACAGTTTTATTCTTGTTACATCTTATGGTTTTGTTAAGTTTTACCCAGTGTACCTACAACTCAATTGGCTGAGACTAATTCCTGGAAGCAGTGTTTCTTATTTCCACGTTAAAATTTTACCTCTAATTTAAAACCATCTCATTTATTCTCCCCTCTCCCCCACCCACCCTCAGTAACTCAGAAGATCTCCTTACCTTGCCAGTGCACTGAACAGGCAGGACATATGGATTATACTTCATCACTGGGTAAGTCTCCAAGGACTCATTCTTGGGAGGCTAAAAATAAAACCCATGTTGGTCAGTAAGTTTGTAAATAATTTTTTTTATTTCTGAAAAAGAAAACTAAAACTTGTAGCCCAAACAAGTACACTTTTGTCAGCTGAAGTAATAACCAAACACTTGAGGACAGCAGAATGAATGACTGCCCTAACCAATCTAGGAAAGGTCATTAATTTTCTTGAAAATAATGGCCCAACTTTTGTTCTAAATGGAACTTCTAATGGTAACCCATTATGTGCTCTATTCAAGAACTCTGAAAAATAAGAGCCAACTCAGAAATAATCCTCTTTTCTCATTTGCTAAGATTAAAATTAGATGGAAAGGTGGGTTGACATTTCTGTTTTTATAAAACTGGGCTTTCCTCCCGAGCCATGAATAAATAATGCCATCCTTCTCCTTCAAGCATGCTTTCTTCAAGCAAGCTTTCCTTTTTTAAATCTCCAGTAGAGGCACTGTCATTTAAGTCCCAGTTTTGTTAGGAAATTCCAGCATGTAAAACAGATAAAGCTGGCACTGCCCTAAATGAAGGGGTCTTGTAAAGGGGTGAGTTCATTGAAGGGACCCACAGTACACTTTGAAAGTTAATGGCTCAAGTGATATCCAGGGCCTGCCCTCCTACATCCTGGCTCAAATCCACCTCATAAGATGTGTGAGGAACATCTATTCCCTGGAACACAGCCGCTTGCCTACTCACATCAGCAGAGCATGAGTCTTGACATGAGCTGTAAACACACAGTCTAATCAGAGTTAGATAAAAGGGACAATTTTCTGTATCAGTAAGGGACTTTTTGGTACCATTCTTTGTTTTGGAATACAAAAAGATGATCATCTAGATTTAACTCTCTTGGAACTTTCTGCCAGCAATAGATTTATCTTTAAAATATGTCGAGAAAATGTTTACTAACAAAGTAGTTACTGGAATCTATCTTCATGGAGGAGGAAACAGGTACATGAAGATGTGGAGTTCTACAATGTCTATAATTGCAACAACAAAAGCATTTGGGATTTGGAATGGGGTGCCAGTCAGAAAGTGGTGATGGGTAACCAAGGGGAGTCCAAAGCAGGGGCGCTTGGGCCGGGGGGAAACTGAAAAGTAAGAGTAGCTGAATTCATAACTTTAACAGAATATCTTTATAAATATGGGAAGAGATGTGAATCATAACAGACTAGAAGTACCACCTCTGGGGAGGACAAATATCATTCAGCATCTATAAAGAGAAATTACCAAAATTACCAAAAGATTCAAAGAGCAAAGATCACGATTAATCCTTGGGACACACTGCACCCATTCCTTTGACTGCTAAATACCTGGTTTATCTCGGTGAAGAGCTTCCTAGCAATATGACCATCAACTCTGTGTGTGATGTAATGGCTCTCACCCTTTTTCTTCCATTATATCCTAGTCCAGACTTCCCTGGTGGCCCATTCAGTAAAAAAAAAAATCTACCTGCAATGCAGGAGACCTGAGTTTGATCCCTGGGTCAGGAAGATCCCCTGGAGAAGGAAGTGGCAACCCACTCCAGTATTCTTCCCTGGGAAATCCCATAGAGGAGCCTGGCAGGCTACAGTCCATGGGGTTACAGAGAGTTGGTCATGACTGAGTGACTAAACCACCACCATCCTAGTCTAGGTGGAAAGAAGATTTAAAATTCTGTTGAGCGATACATAAATTTCTGTGGGCAGTCCATCAAATCAGCCAGCCATCTACCCACTCATCTATTTTTCCCTCCTGTGGCAGTGAGGGAGTTTTGATACATCCTTCAGTTATGATAATAAAACTTTTCATCTCTACATTGACTTTTTGAAAATATTATTCACGGGTAACATTGTGGGAAAAAATAGCATGTAACAGAAAGCTGAAGAACAAAAGAGCCGGACTCCAGAATGAAGTAAATTTGTTCGTTTAACTCTGTATTCTGTAGTCAGTTCCTATCAGAACCAAAAACTACCCTCTTAATGGTGATGCTCATATGTGCAAATGCAAGAAAACTTATGAAGAATGCATGCTTAAGAGAAAAGGATGGCATTTTTTAAATTCATGATCTGGGGGAGAGAATGAACTTAGCAATTTTATAAAAGCAGAGGTAACACCAATACAATTTTTCCTTCTAAAGAATTACTATCATCCCACTAAATGGTGAATGGAGGCAACTTGTCATTTTTTGGTGATCTCCAGGAATACTTACCTTATATGGGCTGCAATAATGGCAAAAGCCAATGGCATTGTTATAAAAGTTCAACCTAGTATTCAACTAATTTTACAATGAAGGCTTCATTCAGTAAAAACAAAGATTTTTTTTCAGATGATGATAGCATTTTTTTCAGATTACCAGATACTTTTTTTTTTTTTTTTTAATACCGTGGCCCCTAGGGTACCAAAACCGGAGTCTGACTGTACAGGCAAGTAGGTTTTAAACTTAGAGATAACCTGTTTCTCTTTTTACTTTTAAAGAGTCTATATAATTACATTATAGAAATGCAGAACAGGGCCACTGGACTGATGTCAGAATTTGGCTCTGCCACACAGAATTTCTCTAACTTTAGGAAATAAGATTAATGACCTAACTCTAAGAATTTCAAGAGGGATACAGAGGTTTTCAATGTTACTCTACTGATGGGGCTTTAAAACTGTCACTGAGGATCCTTTAAAAACTCATTATAGTCTATTCTTCTCATACCAATTAAGGACTACATCTAAGTGTGATGGCTCATTGAAATTCTGTGATTTAAAATAATACTTGCCTTAGGTTTGAAGCCCAGAACTCGGTTGAGCTTTATAATGATACATGGTTTGCCCTCTTTGTAGCCGTAAGTTTCATCATTTATTCCAGAGCAATTTCCCAGCCATTCAAGCTTGAACCTGCAGACTTTTCGCTCTCCTTGTTCGTTGTTAAATTCTCCTCGATCTTTGAGTTCACTGGGCACATCTGAAAATGCAAATGCCATTTTCACATTGTACTGACAATTCCCTGAGCATTATTGATAAAGGACAGGGCTCTCTTTCCTGCCACAATGAGTACTTCTCAGACAGGGCTATCCTGCACCTACTGTATCACCTAAATTAAGGAAAGATTTCCAGCAAGCAATCTCTCACCTCTGCCCTGACCTTAAAAAGATGTTTTTACCAAAAGCACTAGCCAGTACCTGACCCCACACCAAAACGGCATAGTACTCTACAGCGCCTGATGAGCAAGCACACAATGTCTGCTCTCTGACAATATTTCTCTTTCTTTAAATAATGGAGGACTCTGCTGTTTAGAAGACTGAAAGGAAACTGGATCTCTCTTCATGGGTAGCATTGTTTGCACAGGTCAGCATCAGCTTAGCTCAATAATGGGGATGTTATAATTAGAACACAAATTAAAAGGACTACCAGTAATTTTCAGAACTAGAAGTTTCTTGCTTGAGATTTCTTAGAGCTATGCTGCTAATGAACATGGTAAACAGTAAAAAGTGAACAGGAAAGAATTGTTTTTCCTTTTCAACCACCATTCAAGGTTTGAAAAAAATGTTTTTTGAGTTTTTGCCTTTTAACACTGAGTTCTTATAAGTGTTCGTTCGATGGAGAAAATTTATAGCTGCGTGTTTTAAATTGAAAGTCTTAGGAAAAAATAAATGAAAATAGAATTCAAAGTTAAAGGATTCTGCAGGAAATTGATGCAAATACCATAAATTATGTATGTGTATGTACATATATGTACTTAAAATATATATATATATATATATATATTTTTAAGTCCACAAATTAACTATTTTCCCTTCCCATAGTAAAGTACCTTAATTCGGTCCATCTCCTGAAAAGAGATTCACTCTATCATATAGAATGGATTTAATCATTTTATTTAATTATTACAAAGTAAGATGAAAATCTCATTTAAATTCAAATGAGAAAAATTTCATGAAGATGTTTCTTTTAAATTACTAAATCCTTTCAAAATAACTTAAAATGGCAATTTACCCCATATTACACAACCATCTGCCATATAAAGAACAGGAGTTGAATGGAATTAGAAAAACTGATTATCACCTAGTAACTCACAGCAGCATCTTATTTGTGATAGGTATGAAAAAAAGCTGGGAAATTCATACTTCAGGGAGCAAGGGGGAGGATGTGTGTTTGTGTCAATGGCTTAAGGAAACTAAGAGCCATTCTTTACACTCATCAGTCATTCCCTTATCCAGATGCTTAGCTGCACAAGACATATTTCATTATCCATCCTGGCCAGGGTCTTTAAAATATACCCTGACCATAAACTCTCCTCCATCAGTTCAGTGTGGTTATAGCTAATCACACCAAAGGGTCATCTGGCTGAGAGAAGGTCCTATGAACTCTTCTATAGGGGCTAGGGGGCTGGGGGGAGGGAGTGGGGCAGAAATCTGGAAATAAAGGCAATTATGTTTCTCAAAATCAATGTATGTAGGAGGATCATAACTGTAATATGGTCTTTGAGTCTGATCAGTAAACAGAGATGCCTGGCAGTTTTCAAAACACACCTTTCAAATAGGGGTTAAAGTAACACTTGCCACTATACAGTTTCACTGTATCCAAGCTAAACCCATAAAGTCTTTCTGCTTTAAAAAAACAAACAAACAAAAAAAAAACAGTTCCTCTCAATATGGTCAGAGTTAATCTTTTAAATACTTCAGGAGGATCTTTCAATCATTAAATAACAAATTGAAACAGAAGATCAGAATTAACCAATCATAATCATCCAAAGCATGTCTACTTACTGCCACAATCTTCAAAAATCATATCATCCTTCTGGGCTGAATCTCGGTACTTCTTCAGGAAATTATCTATGTTATCCACATATGTCATATAGCTCTTGGGATCATTAGGACGAAAGCCAATTTCAGTCTTTTGGATCTGAGGAATCTGTGTTAATCCTAGACCAGGTAGAAAGTTAGAAAAACAGAGAAAATCATGAGTGGGGAGGCAATCAACTAAGATACTGCAGACTCTCCACATGTAAAACACACTTTGCTAATGCATTCTGGCTAAAAAGAAATCATGAGTCAACCAAGATACAGCAGGAGCAGACTCTTCACATGTAAAACATATTTTGCTAATGCAGTCTAGCTAAAAAGAAAGGCTTATGAGACTTCCCCAGTGGTCCAGTGGTTAAGACTCCACCTTCCAATGCAGGGGCTGTGGGTTCAATTCCTGGTCAGGGAACTAAGGTCCCATATGCTGCAGTGTGCAGCCAAAAATAAAAAAATAAACTGGGTTAAATTCTCTCTCGTGTGAAGTCCTTTCTCTGGCATTTAGGTTAAGTACATAAGTACCAATGACTGTGTCTTAATTATCAGATATCATATAAGTTCCCCAACAACATTTCATGATATGCATATTTCTATTTTATGAATGAAACACTTCTTGCACAGAAAGGTTAAGTACCTGGCCCAAAGTCACAGAGGAAGTGGTGGAACCGGAATTCCAACCCAGGCATGCTGTACTCTAAAGCCTGTTCTCTTTCCAGTTTTCCTTTGTGCCCAAGTTAAAAAAAAAATGCATTGCAAGCCAGCATCTCACGCAGATGGTTCTTCCTTCCCTAATGGCACGTAAGAGTGAGCAGAGAGGTCTTCCTCCATATTCCTTTTAATCAATGAACTTATGACCACTGAAAACTGCAGGCTTAAAGACTACTCAATAGAGACCATATGCATCTTTTAACCTAAACTGGAGGAATATGGAATTTATGTGTTTCTCCGGCTTTCCATTCCAAACATAAATGGTTATTCTGAGCAAGTCAAGTGCCGGACAGGGTAAAAACCAAAGTATGTATACCTTGGGTTTCCACTCTTCAACGACTTTTTAGATTCTTTAACTTCTAAAAGCCTCTGCCATTCACATGACTTCCTAGATAGACATTTGAGCAATGCTACACAGCACTGTCTCAGATAGTGACTGGACAGTCAATCAACATCATTCTATTCTAGGACTGCCAGATAAAATATAAAATGCATAGTTAAACTTTATTTTCAGATAAATCATGAATAATGTTTTATACAAGTATGTCTTATGTAAAACTGGGGACGTACATTAAAAAATTATTCATGGTTTACCTGAAGTTCACATCTAATTGGGCATCCCGTATTTTTATTTGTTAATCTAGTAACCCTATATGAAGCCCCAGTCCCAGACTTGCCCTCTTAGTGTTGGGCACAGAAGGAGCCTCGTCATCACAGTCTTTCAGGGTAAGCTCCATCGCTCTCGCATAGGGGCTTATTAAATGTGCAGCCTCGCAGACTCTGCTGGGGACCTGCCAAATCCCCGTCTCTAAGTGTGCAACTGGGGACTCTCTGCTTACCAAGCTCGAAGAGATCCTTAAGCACTCTTGGTTTGAGAACTACTGCTTTAGAGGATGAGAACCTGGGTGTGCCAGTCCTGACCCAATGACCTCATTAAAGCAGAAGTGATGACCAGAGGGTAGTAGCCATGTGGTGGTTTAGTCACTTGGTCGTGTCTGACTCTTGTGACCCCATGGGCTGTAGCCTGCCAGGCTCCTCTGTCCATGGGATTCTCCAGGCAAGAATACTGGAGTGGGTTGCCATTTCCTTCTCCAGGGGATCTTCCTGACCCAGGAATCGAACCATGTTCTCCTGCATTGCAGGCAGATTCTGTACCAACTGAGCTACAAGGGAAGCCCATTTACCAGCACCATTTGTGAGGCTTCAGACCAGGTTTCAGTAGGGTCTGGGCTAAATGACCCGTTATTTTTCCTCATCATTAACAATGGCTTTGCGCTTCAAAAGTAATTAAATAATGAGGCTGGGGAGAGCTCAGGACTGAATGGGAAGTTCTTTTGTGCCTGGAGTTACCTAGAGGCATGGAAATGATGAAGACAGGGAACGTGAGGGTCTGCAGCCGGGCAGAGAGAGTGCCCAAGACAAGCTATGAATGACATTGAGAGTCATCTCAGAAAGGATAATGGAGAACCTGAAGAATTTCAGGGGTGGGGGGTGTGGGGGGAGGGGGAGTGTCAACGGTGATAGAAATGAGTCTAAAGGGAAGAAGCAGGAAAAGAGTTCTGTTAAAAACAAAGGTTACTACAGTTAAAACATTTTTTATGATGCTCACAAACCATAGAAAATCATATGACTCTAAATATACTCTAAAAAATGTTTTTCTATTGATACATTATTGACTTAGAAAATTGGCATTGTGATTATTTATAGTACAAAAAGAGGCCACATGATAATGACAGATACATACATGCAAATATAAACAGACTGCCACTGGGACTGCCTTCCTGAGCTAGAGCAGTAGACAGGGCTCCTCCCAGCAAAATGCAGAAAGTCTCGGAGGGAGGCTTGTTGCTGGTTTGCGTTGTAAACAAGACACTAAGTCGAGGTGACTTCCCTGGACCTGGGGACGAGCAGAGGCAGGGCCCAGAGCTAGAGGTTTCACAGAACTCAGGGGAGGGGACATTCTCCTAATCCTGGAGTCAGGAGGGAACACAGCCTCGGGGGACATTCGCTGATCTCGGGGCGGGGTGGGAGGGACACTGAGATAGGCAGTGCACAGGGCCAGAGAACTCAGAGGCAAATGCCACTGAATGTGTCGGGTATTCTGTGTGCCTGCAAGGGGGTGGGCAGAAATGGACTAAGATCTGTGTGCATAGGGTTAAACAGTGTTCCCAGGCTTGGGAAATAGAGGGGCAGGAGAGCAGTGGACAGATCGAAGAGATGAGATCAACCATCAGAAGCCAAGGGGTGGTCTCCCCTCAACTTCAGGAAGGAAGGAGGTGGGGAAGAACCGGCTGGCTGACTGCAAGGACATCAGCCTGGTGAGTCATGGTCTCTCTGCAGAGCGGTGACACAGCAAAAACACAAAACACTAACAAGAGCCTGGTGTGAGATTTGGAGCATCTCACCCAACAGTTCGAAAGGTCACTCTGAGAGCAAACATGGTCGCCTCTCAATGGCGAGGTGAGGGTCACCCGGCCAGTGTTCCCTCTGGCCCAGCTGCAGCTCTCCTCCCCAGCAGTCTGCCCTGCACTTTCTGGCTGCGTCTGCATTTCTCTTCCCTGGCTGCTCTACCTCCCGGGTGTGTATGTGTGTATAAGCACGAGTGATGTACTTCTCCGGTTCTCCCACAGCAAAAAGGAGAGCAAGAAAAGGAGGTGGGGTTCTGCGGAGAGCTGTCCTTTCCCTCTCAATGCCGAGTGCAGGGTCCCCACTGTTAAACAGACCAGGTGACACGTGTGAAACCCCAAAGCATTAGCTCCCTTCACTCAGTGCTCTGGCTCTTTACTACCAAAAGGGCACGGCTAGTGAGTTCTTCAGCAGTCTGAGAGCTCTGGTGAAAACCAAATTCATGCCTATCCAGAGACTTGTACCAGTGACCCTTTTTTTTTTTTTTAAATAATATACTCGGACAGAGTAGACCACCTTGGTAGCATCCAAGGCTAACCCATTTCTAGCACCACAATTACTTTAGCAAACCTGGTTCCCCTCACTCCTGCAACATCATGCAGAGCTAGTGATCGAGTCTGCACACCAGTGATTCTTATTAGAAACGCTGCTATTAATCATCTAAGATCTGATTAATGAAAATACAGATATTACCATTACATGCACAATGGCACCACTGGCTCAGAAAAGAGTTATACACCATGGGTCTTGTATCCACCAATTCCCAAGAGCCCAAATCCTTCAGAGGGTTTGGCTTATGATCAAGCCTGTATGTTACCATATGAGAGACATGTAGATCAAACACACTTGAAGAATCTGTGTTCTGCACTGAGAAACATCACTGATGAAATCAAGGATGTAAGAAGTGAAATGGACAGGTAAGCTTTGGGTCTTGCCATCCTGTGAGTTGCCCAGTTGGATAAGACCTTGGGCCAAAGTTGGCAGATGGAGTCCAGGAACAACAGACCAACCCTCGGGGAACACAACCATGTCTCGCTGTCTTCTCTAGGTGAAACTTGGAGTCTGCGCGATCATAGAAGGTATAACTAATATAAGCCTCAATGACTATCCTTTTAAGATACCCAACTTCTGATCGAAATGTTCCTTCCAGAAAAGCATGAACCGTTTGGGTTAAGGTCATGCAATCAGCTTCTCTCTCTAAACCCTAAGCTATGGGAGCACACACAGACATAATACACAAATACCCAGGAGGCCACCCCAGAGTCAAGTGCGGCTCTCGCCTCCTTGGTATGTTCTTCAGCTCCCTTTCCTCATATTTCTGGAAGGCCCCTCACTCTATCAGCCACCACCTCTGTCTCTTCTCTTTTCTTTGTCTAGAATCTGCTAACCTGAGAATTTCTCTTCCTGCAAGCTATCAGAGAGCAATCCCCTGGACTGTTCTGTTCTGGATAATCTTAATTAGGAGAGTTCTCTGATGAGATTTTCTCTAAACCATTAGGAAAATTCCTACTAATTTCTCTAAAGCAATTAGATACTCAAAAGAAGCAGAGGAAGGACCCTTGACCTGGTATCTAAAGCCTTTAAAACCATTTATATTATCAGACTAATTTTCCATTAGTCTGGGATAAAAAGGGATAGAATTGGATTTGGCAACTTCTTTATTTTCTTGGGGCTTCCCTGGTGGCTTAGGGAATCTGCCTGCAATGAGGGAGACCTAGGTTCGATCCCTGGGTCGGGAATATCCCCTGGAGAAGGAAACAGCTACCCACTCCAGTAGTCTGGTCTGGAGAATTCCATGGACAGAGGAGCCTGGCGGGCTACAGTTGATGGGATCACAAAGAGTCATCTTGAGTCCATGAGCAAATTTCTCAACCATGACCCTCTCCAAGGAATACACAAATCCCTTCAGCTGTCCCTCTCCAAAATGCTCACTCCTTGGTTGTGAGTTATAGCTCTGGATAAGGACAAGCTTTGTTTGCAATAGTAACTCTCAGAGGCCAAAGACAGCA